AGGGTTGAAATGGAACTTAGAAACAATCTTGAGTAGCCCTAAGACCAGGAAAAAAGTCAGCTGGTTCATTTTATTACTGATGCACATTTAAAAAAATGTTTTTATTTATTTTCAGAGATAGGAAGGAAGAGGGAGAGAGAGATAGAAACATCAATGATGAAGGAGAATCATTGATCAGCTTTGTCCTACAGGTCCCCCACTGGGGATTAAGGCTGAAACCCAGGCATGTGCCCTGACCGGGAATCAAACCGTGATCTCCTGGTTCATGGGTGGATGCTCACCCACTGAGCCATCCAGCAGGGCTGCACATATTTTTTTAAAATATATATATTTCCATAGACAGAAAGACAAGGGATTTTTTTTGTTTAATACTTGACATGAAATGAAAGGCAGAGTCATATAAAAATCTAAATTTTATTTCTGATAGTAGTGTTTGACTATTCAGTCATTTTAACCTTTTGATTATATATAAAATGGAGTGAATGCTTAATTATAGAAATAAAATATTATATTTTACACTTACTTACCAACACTAATAATTCAACTTTGGAATATTTTCCAAAGATTTTCTTCTTAGCTTTCTCTTCTCACTGCATTCTTGGCCTGAGTTACCATGGTTCCTTCTTGAGTTTCTTATCTACCTTAAACAAATAATTCTAGATCTGAATTTCTAGCTATGTTATTTTCCCTGAATTCCAGTTCATAGTGAAGGCCAAGCAGAGCTTTACCTGGCCTTCATTTCATTCTACTTGCTATACATCTCTACCTGGATGCCCATCTAGCACTTAAAAGTCTATTTGGCTAGAAAACACTCACCATGTTTTTTCCATTAAACTTATTCCTTTGACTGAATTTCCTATTCTTTTTCATAGAGTAATTGTCTTCACTGTTGCTTGTTCTTAGAGCCTCAGAGCTAACTTTGATTCCCATGTCTTTTCCAGGCTTACAGCCACTTGCTGACTATGTCACATTATTACCATGTTATTCTTGCATCCAGATTCTTGAAGCCATGGCATGATATCTGCCTTCAACCTTCATTCTGGAATAAGACTGTCATCCTTGTTGGGTAGCCCTAATCTGACCTTCCTGCTCTATTTGCCTTGTATTTCAATTCAATCTTTTAAAAACATGTTATCTTTTTTCATTATGAAGTGATAAATGGTCAGGGGAGAAAATGCTGAAAATAAAAAGAAAACAAAATGCCTATATCTCAATACCCCAAAATAATCATTATTAACATTACGGTCTGTATTCTTCTAATTCTTTTTCTATGATGTGTGCATAATGTTTTTATTTAATGTCAGTTGACCCAGGAGTAGTCTAAAGGTTACAATTATTATGATAATCAGTAACCCCCAACCTCTTCTGCATTATTTGCTAAGTAGAAATTAGTTGATCATTAAGGTCCCTTTCCAGTTCTCAAATGGAGTGATAGATGATCACAATGGGCATATATAATTAGTGGCATAAAAAGCAACTATCATCTATTTTCATTTTCAAAGAGAAAAATACCATAAACAGAGTTTCTTATCTCAGATATCACTTAAATATTAGTGGCAGGCAGTAACAACAACTAACCCAAACAGTTCTGTTTCTTTCTCTAGACACAGTTCTCTTCAAGTCTTTTAGGGAAGTTGTTTTATAGATAGAGGAGAGAAGCTCCTAGACTAGTCTTGACTTTGAAAAAGTCTTATCATCTATTTTTTTTTCATATCACCTATTTTTACTTCATTTTTCACTGATGTAAAATGAAGATTTTACCTGGCTGCAACTACCTTCTGGGAGCAAGATAATGAATGAAATCATGGGAATTTACACAGGCTAATTTACTGTGAAGCTTAAGTTTGAGAGTCCCTCATTTACACCAGCCCCTTCTGAGGCCTATACCTATTTTGTTTTGTTTTTAAATATGTGTTTATTGGTTTTGAGAGAGAGGGAGAGAGAAAAAACATGGATGTGAGAGGAAAACATTGATTGGTTTCCTCCCACAAGTTCCCCAATTGGAGATCAAACCTGCCACCTGGTTATGTGCCCTGACTGGGAATTGAATGGTGAACTTTCGGTGTACAGGATACTGCTCCAATCAATTGAGCCACCCGTTCAGCCTTATACCTATTTTTGTGTGGGAATTTGGTAAAAAAATTTTTCTTAAAGAGATCCCCAAATTTGCTTACTCTTTCGTCCTCATAGGAACTGAATCAACCGCTATATATTCAAGTGTTATGAGTCCCTTCAGAGAAATGATGACATGGAAGTCCAATTTTATATTAAGTCAAATTTTTCTTGATCACTCTCTAAATTATGGGCAAAAATAGGAAAACTGTTTGCTGTTCTGAAGTCTGATTTAGGCAACAAAGTTTTCAGAATAAAGTTTCCTGGGGTGAGGAATCAGAAGACCTGGATTTTAATGTGGGGTAACACTACTACATAGCTGTGATTTGATACTTAACTTTTTTGCTGTTTAGTTTAATAAAAAGGTTGAAATGTCTAATCTTTAAAATTCTTTCACAGATGAAACATTATGATTCTTATTCCCTAATGCCAAAATATTGTGGGTTTTTCAAACTAGTTGGCTCCAGATTTATTGTTGAAGTGTGATTACAACATTTTAAGGCAACTAAGATCTTCTGTGAATCCTTTTTCTTGAAAAATGCTGGGCAAAGGGAAATTACTTAAAATATCTACATTTATACTCCCCATCAAATGGGTTTTCTTATATGAAGTCATAATGACTGTGAAAAATAATTTACTTTATTATTGTTGGATGATTTCCCTTTCTTAGAATAAAGAATGAAGATTATTTCAGTTGCACATCTCTGATGAAATCTTCTACTATAAGCTAGCTGAATTGTTCAGTTGGCCTAAGGGCCTAAGACTTGAAATACTACATTCTTGTCAGAGTTCTAATTTCTCACTATAAATACAATAGGGGGTTGAGGGGACTGAGTTTCCAGGTGGTCAAGGAAGAGGGGAAAAAATAATTTCATGCACATTATTTCATCTTCAGTTAATTCTTAAAATGCTGTCCTCTTGGAAGGAAAAATGTTCTGTTTCATATTTTAAGGGAAGGGTAAATTGAAAGGTAATTTTTAGTATAAAATTGTGATGGAAAAAAGGGAAGAATATTTCAGCAAATTTTTATAGAGTATCTGTTATATAAAGATGCCATGGGCCAAGCAGTTCAAGTCCTAGGTATTTAATTAAGAGAAAATGTATGTTCACAAAAAAACTTGTACACAAGTGATTATAATAGCATCCTATCTAATAAAGAGGGAATATGTTAATTGACCCCCACGCTATCGCAAAGATGGTGGCACCCACAGCCAATAAGGAGGGAACATGCTAATTGCTGCCCCGCCCTCGAAGATGGCGGCACCCACATCCATAAGATGGCAGTGCCCAGTCCCCTCAGCCCCTCCAGGGCAGCAGGCTCGCGGCAATGCCGGCCCTTCCCCAGGCAGGCCCGCTGCTCTTCGCGCCTGCCTCCGGAGTCCCCCAGTCCCCTCAACCCCCTAGCCCAGCCGTGGACAAACTACGGTCCGTGGGCTGGATCCAGCCCATTTGAAATGAATAAAACTAAAAAAAAAAAAAGACCGTACCCTTTTATGTAATGATGTTTACTTTGAATTTATATTAGTTCACACAAACACTCCATCCGTGCTTTTGTTCCGGCCCTCCGGTCCAGTTTAAGAACCCATTGTGGCCCTAGAGTCAAAAAGTTTGCCCACCCCTCCCCTAGCCACTACTCAAGTATCTAAAAATTACTTCAATAACATTAGTTTTAAATTGTTATATTCTTTGACACAACAACTGTCCTTCTAGAAATCCATTCCAAAGAAAGCCCTAAAACATAGATAGGTAATATGCACAAAGATCTTCAAAACAAAATAATTTTTAATAGTTCAACAAAGGGTAGACTGTGGCCTTGGCTTCATATTGTGGAAAGATGGTTATGAGTGAATTGTGACTCTTCCATCAGATATACATTGAGTAGTCATTAAATGATCTTTTTGAATAGTGTTTGATGATATGGCAAAATGCTTATAATATAGTTAGATAAAAGAGATAGTCTATCCCTAGCTGATTTGGCTCCTTGAATAGCGTGTCAGCCTGCAGACTGAAGGGTCCCAGGCTCTATTCTGGTCAAGGGCATGCACCTCAGTTGCAAGTTCCTCCCTGGCCCGGGCCCTCGTTGGGAGCGAGCAGGAGGCAACCAATTGATGTGTTTTTCTCTCACATCGATATTTCTCTCTGTCTTTCCCTCTTTCTTCCACTCTCTCTAAAAATCAATCGAAAAATATCCTCGGGTGAGGATTAAAAAACAAAAGAGAGAGGTAATCTATGAAATTATATCTATAAATGTGATCTCAGCTGTGTAACAAAATAAATATGAGCATGAAAAAATAAATATGTGCTTGGAGAAATGTATGCCAGATTGTTAATGGAGTTTGTCCTGGGTAGGATTATGGATTTTTTTTCATAGTATTATATATTTCCCAGATTTTCTACATTGGGCATGTACTTCTTTAATAGATAATAAAGAATAATCATTACTCCCAAAATGCAGGAGGTTGGTTATAGGAGAGCCTAGAAAAGGGAAGATAGATGAGTCAATGTAAATCATCATGCCTATTGGAAAAGCAATTCAGAATATAAGCCTTATTGACAGACAATCAGTAGCATCACTGTGTGCTGTCAGATTAGTCCTGTCTACGGGTAGCCTCTATTGAGTTTCCCTGGACTCAGACAAACCAGTGGAAGCCTCAATATAGATTCTGAAATCTAGTGACACATTTGTTTTCCTGATATTGCTTGTGAAAGAGTAGCCTGTGACTCTGTTGTGAAATTTTTACCTTTTACATTTGTCATCCAAAACAGCTAAAGGTAAAATTTTAACTTTGTAATGTTACATTTATAAATATTATAAATGACCATGTTATTGATTATTACTCCTTTAACTTGACCCTGCAATTATGTATTTTCTTCTTCTCTTTCAATAGGTGCACCATAAATACAAAAGACTGAAGTTACAAAAGGGGAAGAAAAGGTTGCTGCTAAAATGAATTTGAGCAATACAGTGTATTTTGTGCCATACACAAAAAGGTATTGTCCACATAGATCCATAACTTAGCTTTCTCCTATAAAATGGAAATAAGTGGTACAGTCTGGTTTTTTTCTTTTTAAAAAAATATTTTTATTGATTTCAGGGAGGAAGGGAGAAGAAGAGAGAGCTAGAAGCATCAATGATGAGAGAGAATCATTGACCAGCTGCCTTCTGCAGGCCCCCTGCTGGGCATTAAGCCTGCAACCCAGGCTTGTGCCCTGACTGGGAATCTAACCATTACATCATGGTTCATAGGTCAGCACTCAACCACTGAGCCACCCATTCAGGCTTTTCTGTTTTTTCTATAATTAATTTTTAGTATATTTCTAAGAAAAATATATTAAAAGGGAAAATATTAATAAAATTGGGATAAAATGTTCTTTTATAAAGTTTTTTAGTTTCAAGTTATTTCCTTATAAATTTTTATTATTCTCATTTATAGCTTACAATAGATAATTATTTGGTTAAAAGAAATGAGCTCAAGTTGATTTCTATTATCAAATTATTTTCTGGAAATAAAATTTTTGTTGTAGTAATACACATAAGCAAAAAGAGGAAATTTAAAAATTACCTGAAATCCCAACTTTAAATAAAACATAAGCCTTCAAAGAAATCTAAACTTACAGGTTAAAGAAGCCATATTTCCCATCTTCACTGTGGCATCTCTCCTATGATCTACTTATACTCTGCCTTTTACTAAAACAAAACAAACAGTAAAGAAATGGCCTCATGTAAATTCCCATTAGTATATTACTGGGTCAAACACTGTACTCATTCTTTCAGTTGTATCCTTATGCCCATACCAAAAAAAAAAAAATGTATATTTTCTATTACTTTGCTAATTTGGTGGGTGAAATGCGATGTCTTATTATTTTAGTTTTTACTTCTTTAATTACTAGTAAAATTTTATATGTTTCATTTCATTAATGGCTCCTGCTATTTCTTTTTTAAATTTAATGTTTATGTCCTTGAGTATGTGAGTGGGTGTATGTATATGTATGTGTTTACCTCCTTGATATCAAAAATAACTGGCAAATAATTTGTAAGAACCACTCCCTTTCATTTTTTAAATTGTATCTTTCTTTTTAAAACAAACATTGATTTTTTCCATATAATAATTTAATATATTTCAAGAGCATACTAGTAATATGTTAAACACACTTATATGTAAACTAGAGGCCCGGTGCACAAAAATTTGTGCACTCGCGGGGGAGAGGAGGGGTCCCTCAGCCTGGCCTGTGCCCTCTCGCAGTCTGGGACCCCTCAGGGGATGACCACTTGCTGGCTTAGGCCTGCTCTCCGGGGGATTGGGCCTAAGATGGCAATCAGACATCCCTCTGGCAGCCCAGCAGCCCTCGGGGGTTGTCCACTTGCCAGCGGGGAGCAGGCCTAAACTGCAGTCGGACATCTTTAGTGCTGCTGAGGAGGCAGGAGAGGCTCCCACCACCACCGCTGTACTGGCAGCCATCAGCCTGGCTTGTGGCTGAGCAGAGCTCCTCCCATGTGAGAGCGCCCTGACCACCAGAGGGCAGCTTCTTCATTGAGCGTCTGCCCCCTGGTGGTCAGTGTGTGTCATAGTGACCAGTCATTCCCAGTCTTTCTGCTGTTAGGGTCAGTTTTCATATTACCTTTTTACTATATAGGATAGAGGCCTGGTACACGGGTGGGGGCCGGCTGTTTTCCCTGAAGTGTGTCCCGGATCAGGGTGGGGGTCCCGCTGGGGTGCCTGGCCAGCCTGGATGAGGGAATGATGGCTGTTTGCAGCTGGTCACACCCCCTTCAGGGTGGCAGTCCCCACTGGGGTGCCTGGCCAGGCTGGATGAGGGGATGATGGCTGTTTGCAGCTGGTTGCACCCCCTTCAGGGTGGGGTGTCCCCACTGGGGTGCCTGGCCAGTCTGGGTGAGGGGCTGAGGGCCGTTTTCAGGCTGGCGGGTGACTGAAGCTCCCAACCTCTCCTTTTTTTCTTTTTTTTTTTTTTATTCTGGGATTTATTTACCTTCTATGGCTGTCACTAGAGCTAAGAGCCGGCTTTAGCCCTAAGGCTCAGCTCCAGCTCTGAGACCTCGGCTGCTGAAAGCAGGTATCTGGGTTTGTTTGGGTTCTATAATTGTAACACTGTTGCAGTCCTGCTCGCTCCAGCTCTAACAGCTGAAAGCAGGTTTCTGGGGTTTGTTTAGGTTCTATAATTGCAACATTGTTTCTTAGAGTGAAAGCTCAGAAGCCGGCAGCGGCAGGCGGGGAACCTTGGCTTCCTCCTTCACTGGAGCAAGCAAGCCTCCTGTTCGTTTCAGCTGCCTGGCTGCTGGCCGCCATTTTGGTTGGCAGTTAATTTGCATATCTTGCTGATTAGCCAATGGGAAGGGTAGCGAAGTTACGGTTAATTATCATGTTTCTCTATTATTATATAGGATATAATAATTATAAATATATCATATTTAGTAATACATTTATCAATGCATTTAAGAATTCACCAATAGATTTATTAATAATTCATTAATATCTTTCTCAATTATATTTATTGGTTGCTTATTTCCCATTTATTCATATCAATTTCTACATTTATATATTAATAAATAAATATATATATGAAGCCATCATCATATTGAATATACATGTCCATCATTCCCCAAAGCTTTCTTATGCCCCATTTTACTCCTTCCTTCTCTCTCTCTCTTCTCTTCTCACCCATCTCTATTCCTGGGCAACCACTGATGTGCTTTCTGTCATGTTAGGTTAATTTGTGTTTTCTAGAATTTTATATGAATGAAGCCATAAAGTATGTATTCTTTTTTTTATCTGGCTTCTTTCACTTAGCTTAATTATTCTGAGATTCATCCATGTTGTAGCATGTATCAATATAGTTCATTTTATTGCTAAGTTACATTCCATTGTCTGCATTTACCACAGATTGTTTATCCATTCATCTGTTGATGGACATTTGGGTTGTTTCCAGTTTTGGCTATTAAAAATAAAGCTGCCATGAACATTTGTGTACAGTGCTTTGTTTGGACATATGTTTTCATTTTTCTTGGCTAAATACATAGGAATGGAATGGCTACATCAGATGGTAGATGTATGTTTAACTATTTAAGAAATTGCCAAACTGTTTTCCAAAGTGTTCATTCCATTTATACATTTCCGCCAGCAATGAATGAGAGACCCAGTTACTTTACAATCTTGCCAATACATGGTATGCTTAGTCTTTTTAATGGTAGCCATTCTACTAGGTGTATACAGTATTTCATTGGGGTTTTAATTTGTATCTTCCAGATGAATAGTATTAAGCATATTTTCTTTTGTTTATTTGCCATCCATATAACTTTTTTAGTGAAATGTCTATTCCAATTTTTTCCCATTTAAAAAATTGGGTTGTTCATTTTGTCAAGTTTTTTAATCTTGATAAAGTCTAATTTATCAATTTTTTTCTTTTATGGATAATGCTTTTCTTTGCCTAATCCAAGTTCAAAAAGGGGAACAAAACATAAGATTTTCTTTAGGAAAAACAGAAATATCTATGAACTAAATTTATGAGAACTAAAATGTATTTTAAACTTTTGAATATTTTTTTAATAAAGCTGAGTACTATGGATCACCATTTGCTGGAAATACATAGATCACTATGTCGTAGTATATAGACTAAATACTTGCTTCCTGACCATGGGGAAGTTGTTTCACCTTAGTCTTAGTTTGTTCCATAATATCAAAATAATAAAGTCTCACATTATGATTTGTTGTGGGGTTTAACGGAGATAGTATATATGGTATTTAGTGTTGCCTGACACATAATAAGGCCTAATTAATGTTAGCTGTTATTATTTAAGTATTAATTAGACCAAAATGCTTTTTTAAAAACAGATTTATTGAGACATAATTTTTATATTATATAATTTACTCATTTAAAGTATATAAATCAATGGGTTTTAGTAAATTAACAGTTGTACTACCATTACCACAGTTAATTTTAGGACATTTTCACCACCCTTTAAAGTTATTCCCACAAACCCACCTTTCCCCCAGTCCTAGGCAACCAATTGCCTACTTTGTCTCTGTAGATTTACTTATTCTAGAAATATTTTATAAATGAAATCATACAATATATGGCTTTTTTCACTTAGCATGTTTATTGGGTTTATCCATGTTGGAGCATGTATCAGTACATCATTTGTGTTTTTTTTAATTGTTTTATTGCTTAAAGTATTACAAAGAGTATTATATATGTCTCCTCTTTTCTTTTTTTTTTTTTTTTTTTTCTCTCCCCTTGATATTCCCCATCATTTGTTTTTATGGCTGAATAATACTCCATTGTATAGATAGACCACATTTTTTTACTCATTCACCAAATGGACATTTGGGCTGTTTCCATCTTCTGGCTATAATGAATAATGTTGCTATAAATATCTATGCACAAATTTTTGTGTGGACATCTGTTTTCATTTCTCTTGGCTATATACCTAGAAGTAGGGTTTCTGGATCAAATGGCAACTCTGCGTTTAAGTTTTTGATGAACTGCCTATCTGTTTCCCAAAATGGCTGCACTATTTTACATTCCCACCAGCAGTGTTAAGAGAGTTCCAATTTTTTCACATCCTTACCAATTCTTATTATCTGACTTTTTGATAATGCCCACCCTAGTGGGTATGAAAAGATATCTCTTGTTTTAATTTTACTTTTCTAATGACTAGTGATGTGGAATGTTTTTTTCATGTGTTAATGGCCACTTGCATATCTTTGGAGAAATGTCTATTCAAATCTTTTGCCCATTTTTCTTTTGAGTTACTTGTCTTTATTATGGAGTTATAAGACCACAATGCTTTTTTAATATCAATTTGTATTGCCACCAAACAAAATGTGTTAGAAATAAGGTAATGTCAAACTTAATTTTTCTACAGGTACTAAAAATTTACCCCCAAAATATTGTCAATGAGAGATAAAGCTGATTGGGACATCAAAAGCAAAACGTTTGCAAGTACTGGTCATCATGCCTAAAGGGGTGCCAAAGGACCCAGAGATTGCTGATCTGTTCTACAAAGATGATCCTGAAGAACTTTTTATTGGTTTGCATGAGATTGGACATGGAAGTTTTGGAGCAGTTTATTTTGTAAGTAATGGAAAAGAATCATTTAGATAGATCAGATTAAGAAAGTTTGACTTCTACACATTTTATTACTTGAAAAATACACTTGGCTTTAATGTCTATTCTACAAATTAAATGATATTTCCAGTAGAGGCAAATAGTCATTGCAGAAAAGCCAGTCCAGAAATCTAGGCGTTATTCAAGTTAATGGTATCTATAACAACTGACTGCTGTCAAGGTAATATTAACAAGTTATAAGCTTGAAGTTGAGCCCTATGCATTTCGACTGTATGCCACACTTTTTCCTGCCTTAGGACCTTTATATATGCTCCTACTTAGAAAATGCTGCACATTGCATCCCTGTCCCTCTTTAGCTCTTGTTTGTCCTACAGATTTCGGATTAAGTGTTACATCCACAAGATAGCCTTTCTTGTTCAACCCTCCAGCACTAAATTAAGACTTTTTAAATGATCTCCTAACACCCTGTGCTTATACTTTGTTGCATTTATCACAATTGTAATTAAATAATTGTGTGAGAGTTTTTGATTCATGTGTATTCCTCCCACCTTTTAATGGTTATTTCATTATATAACTGTACCATATTTATTTAACTGGTTCTCTATTGATGGAGGTTCTATATGATGAAGCCGGTGTGGATGTTTTAGAAATATGACTTGTTTCTGTTTGAATGAATTTATTTTATTAAACCCTAATTTTTTATAGTGTAATCTTTGCATGTATACAGAGAGGAATTAAGATAAACTGTTCTTTAAAGTGGGATGGAAATGTCTACCTAAACCTATCAAAAGTTGAACTATCTTTAAATTGTGATAATGGCCGAAACCGGTTTGGCTCAGTGGATAGAGCGTCGGCCTGCGGACTGAGGGGTCCCGGGTTCGATTTTGGTCAAGGGCATGTACCTGGGCTGCGGGCACATCCCCAGTGGGGGATGTGCAGGAGGCGGCTGATCGATGTTTCTCTCCCATCGATGGCTCTCTATCTCTCTCCCTTCCTCTCTGTAAAAAATCAATAAAATATATTTAAAAATAAAAAAATAAAAAAATAAATTGTGATAATGAAGTGTGAAAATGTTAGATTCTCTAGTCAAATATTTAAGAACCATCATTCATTCTTTTTGTTTTACTTTCTTCATTGTCTTAACACAGGCCACAAATGCTCACACCAATGAAGTGGTGGCAGTTAAGAAAATGTCGTATAGTGGGAAGCAGACACATGAGGTAAGTTAAAGATAGTTGAATACCTAAACTGACATAAGTAAGTTAATATGAAATTGATAGAAGAAACAACGTTCTTTAAACATTTTTAAAATATATTTTTTTATTGATTTCAGAGAGGAAGGGAGAGAGAAACATCAATGATGAGAATCATTGATCGGCTGCCTCCTGCATGCCCCCTATTGGGGATTGAGGGCACAATCCAGGCATGTGCCTTGACTGGGAATTGAACTGTGGCCTCCTGGTTCATAGGTCAATGCTCAACCACTGAGCCACTCGAGCCAAGCATCTTTAAACATTTTTTATCACAATTCTTTTTTTCCCTCCTTCTGGAGCATACACTAAACATTCCTAATATTCTAACGCAGTCAGCTGTTTTGTGGAATAGATGGGTTAGTACAGTGGTCGGCAAACTCATTAGTCAACACAGCCAAATATCAACAGTACAACGATTGAAATTTCTTTTGAGAGCCAAATTTTTTAAACTTAAACTATATAGGTAGGTACATTGTTTTTAACTTAATTAGGGTACTCCTCAGGCTTAGGAAGAGCCACACTCAAGGGGCCAAAGAGCCGCATGTGGCTCGCGAGCCGCAGTTTGCCGATCACGGGGTTAGTACAATGGATTTAAGTATGTATTTCGTGTTAGATTTACATTTACATGTATTCAAACTTAAAGAAGTAACATAAGATTAAATGGCTTCTTCATTTATTAAAGATTTACTTTGTCCCTTTAAAAAATAAAAAGAAATGATGTATGTGTACTTGATAATAAAATACTATTTTAAGCTTTAGAATGATAATTTTCTTTTCTTCAATAGAAATGGCAAGATATTCTTAAGGAAGTCAAATTTTTACGACAGTTGAAGCACCCTAATACCATTGAGTACAAAGGTTGTTACTTGAAAGAGCACACTGCTTGGGTAAGTCAAAAGACCTCTATTATTTATTTTTTTCTATTTTTTCTCTTATCTCTTTGATCTATAAGATTATCAGTCCCACTTGACTTTTGTTATTAGTCTTTCACATTTGTTAATGCCTTAGAATATGCCATATGCTATATATTCTATAAGAATGATATCTAGACTATGGGAAATTGCATTCTATAAACACTCATTGAAGAAATGGTGGAAGTTAACATGATTTTATAATGACTTATTTATGAAAGTAAAGAGCAGGGCCTTCTATTCTCATTTTAAAATTTTTATCTTTGACATTTTTCATTCCCCACTCCAATTCCTGCATAGTTCAGAATTGTGCTTGGTATTGTAATGCCTAAGTTTTATCAAACAGGGCCAAGCTATAATTAAAATGAAACAATCTTTTGTTCCACTCTGTCTTCTTAGTGTATTTTTACATGATTGTGTTTCTGTTGGGCACTGTTCAGTACATAAAATGTTATACTTTGTACTTAATTCAGATTGCACATTCCAACTTAAAGTCTAATTTAACTATCATTTATTGAATGCTTACCAGCACTGTGTCCTTTCCTGTGCATGATCTCCACTTAGGGAATTGAGTTTTTGTTCCCAGATAGACTATCAAACAGTATACTTAAACATTTCTGATCAAGTAACTTTCAAGATATCTAGAGCCATTGTTTCTAATCTGAGGAGAAATTAATCAGAGGCATCTCTCATGATCTGGAAATCAGTTCTCTGGCAATCTCAACTGTCTTGAAGGAGTCAAGAAAGGGATTTTGAGCAGGCAGGATGAATGTTACAGTATCAAGTGTTCAATCTCATGAGTTCAGGTCTTCAGAAAAATCCTCTGAGCTCTTAGTTGAAGCCTATTTACTCTTTGATTACACAGAGTGCTAATAAGCTTGGTCACCGGGTCTCTGTCTCCAACAGATTTGATGGGTTAATTAGGAGAAGCTTTAGGAACTGAGCTGCTTGCTGGAGACATACCTACTAACAGCCACAGACTAATTTGACCATAAGAAAGAAGTTGGGAAAGCTAAAGTATGGAGCCTCATTTTATGATCTGAGCATCATATGATTCTCCTGTGCTTGTGTATTAAATTGTTTTTTTCTCCTGCTTAAAAGAAGAAGAAAGAAATTAGAAAAGTATGGGTACAACCCTAACTGGTTTGGCTCAGTGGATAGAGCATCGGCCTGCGGACTGAAAGGTCCCAGGTTCGATTCCAGTCAAGGGCATGTACCTTGGTTGTGGGCACATCCCCAGTGGGGGTGGGGGTGGGGGGAAGAGTGCGGGAGGCGGCTGATCAATGTTTCTCTCCCATTAATGTTTCCGATTCTCTATCCCTCTCCCTTCCTCTCTGTAAAAAATCAATAAAATATATTTTTTTAAAAAGAAAAGTATGGGTACAATTGAGAAATGTTTCCATTAAAATTCATTAAAGAAAAAAGAATTTATTTGTCAATTATACCTTGATATAGCTGAAAAAATAGTGCATATAAAAGGCTACCCTTTGTTATAATAATCACTTATGTGGACTCTCATTTCACAATAAGATATGAAATTAATGTTTATAATCTGCTTACTTTTAATGTTAAGCTGAAAACTATAATAACATTTCTAAACTTTAAACTTTTAAGTTACTTATATTGTTCTAAATTATTCTAGCAATACAATAATTTATATATTCATATATTTAATATTATGCATAATTTAATGATTTAAGTATATAGATATATAACTTGATTATTATAGAGTATATTGTATATGACATATATCACTATATGTATTCTGTACCTTGCATTGCATTGCTATTGGAATAATTTAGAAAAATGAGATAGATTGAATATACAATCTATAATAATAAAAGCATAATATGCTAATTAAACCAGACATTCTTCCCAACAACCTTCCAGATGAAGCTGCGGCGGCAGCGGCTGAGCCCCTTGCATGAATTTCGTGCATTGGACCTCAAGTATATCATGTTCTCCTAAGTTATTTTGATAACACAAAGTGCATGAAATATAGATATATGTTTTATACTAATTTTTGAATGAAAGGAACCAATATATTAATATTGGTTATGTCTAGGTAATTAAGGAAACTAGTATTTTATAATGAGCATATGGCATTTTTTAGAATAACAAAATAATTTGTAGGAGTATGTGTGCTTGTGTGTGTATGTGGAGACTGGTCACTGAGCATTCACAGTTCTGATCTTGGCTATAAATCAGTAGTCTGGGACACCTGAAATATCTAAGATGGAAATAAAGAAATTTTTCTAATTTTTGCTTATAAAAGACCTCCCAAGATTGCAAATATCAATAATATTTTAATATTATTTTCAAATTATTTTAAGGTATAACTTTAAATATCTCATATCTTGGGAATTTGAACTAATGCAATGATACAGGCTACATCTTTAGATTGAGTTCTAAATAGTATTTCCTTTTTCTCTTTTTAAGTGAAGGTGGAAGTAAATGATCTTGTTGCCATAGATGCAAATGCTTAATATTTTCTTGCTTAACACTTTTAAATAAAATTATTGCTTGATTTTAGGAGGGGAGATAAAGAGAAAGAAAGAGAGATCATAACAATGACTTGTTGTTCCACTTATTTATATGTTCATTGGTTGATTCTTGTATGTGCCCTGAGAGGATCAAATCTGGATGATGCTCTAACGAACTGAGCTACTGGGCCAGAGCTGTTTAACACGTTTTAAATGTGAAAACGAGGAATTTATTACTTATTATTGGCTTATTTTATTTAACTTCTATTTCCTGGTATCGGTTTTACTGGCTCATGTATTTGGTTTCCAGTTTCCAAGTTATAAAATTTAATTTGGAGTATAACCCAAGCCACCTTAAATCCCTTTTTGAAACAAGATGATGTAGAATGTAGTAGAAAATAGGTAAGTTGGAGTATGGAGTCAGTATTTCCATACCCAGTCCCCTTAGAGTTTTAGACTAATTCCATTTCCAAGTAGGAGATAACAATAACAAATGATAAAAATTATAAAAACCAATTAGTGCCAGTTGACCAAAATTGAATCCAGGGTCAAATAGGCCAGGATATTTATTCTTCTAGTATTCTTAGGTCCTGGGTTGGTCAGTTGGTGTTAGCAGTTTCTTGTTCATTGTTCTGGTTATTGTTTTAATCTCTTACAGTTGGTGATGGAGTATTGCTTAGGCTCAGCCTCTGATTTGTTAGAAGGTAAGAATCAGAACAGTCCCCTCCTTTCTGTTTTACCTTGACCAGGATGTTATCTACTCTTAAATTAAAGTCCAATTTGGGCAAACCAAATGGATGATGACTTAGACTTAAGGATTGTGTGCATAAGCTATGCAAACTTTGTAGTGCCACCAAAACTATCTGAGTAATGATTAGCAGTCCTCCTACTTTTTGTGTGTGTGTGTGTTTTTGTTTTAGTTCATAGTTCATCCTGGGAAGGTACTACTAAAATGTTTACTAATGGGATGAAGTATATGCAGCCAAAAACATTAAATTTATATTTATGTATGAAAGAGAGGTAGATGGAATTAAATTAAATATTAGTATTTAACCCTTGCAAATACCTTGACTGACCCAGTTTTCCGCAGATGCTGTTATAACCAGAGACTGTTAAAAATTTACATTAAAAAACTTTCTAATATCATTCTTAATCTCTGAATAGAAATTGCTTATTAGCTGCTTTCACAAATATTGAAAACCTATAGTTAGAGGAGTGAGATAGATGGCTTCGGGGAAGAGGAGAATAATGCAACCTAAAACACTCTAGGGTTATAATGTGAGAAGGAACTAGTAAATTTGGGCCTGGCCAACTGACTTGCAACTGACAAATAAATTAATAATTAATTACCACAAATACCAGGCTTTGTTTTATTTTGTGTGAACAGGTTTGTTTGTTTTTATACTTCAGTTTTCTATTATCTGATTATTTATTGCTGTTCTATAGAAAATATATATCTTGTGTGTTTAGATGAATGTGTGCCCAATTTGTCATTTGAGAAAGTCTACAATTCAGTTTAGTATAGTTGTATAAGATAAAAAGAGGCATGAAACTGATCATGTACTCCTGAATGTTTTTCCTTCCTCAGTTCACAAGAAACCACTTCAGGAAGTGGAGATCGCTGCCATTACTCATGGTGCCTTGCAGGGGCTAGCCTACCTGCATTCTCATGCATTGATTCATAGGTAAGATTAGAGACTAGTTACATTTTCATTTCAGCTATAGGACTATCTGTTCAATGAACCTTGTAAATTAGTGCATGCTCCAATTTTTAGGGCGCCTAAGGATTTATGGGTAGCAAATAGACTGCCGCTGCTTCTGGATGTAAAGAGTAAAGTTGCCAGAATTTAGTTCCTATCTCTTGGTCTCTCCCATGTATCCGCAAAGACTTACATTATCTCTGTTCTATAGGTAACTATTCTCCAGGCAGGGTGTTGCAGGGAAGAAGAGCTCAGCAACCTTTTGATACTGTGTCAAGAAGAGAAAAAAATAAATGAGTCTTTCTTGCATATGTTTATTTCCTAGCTCAGTTTCTTCTCCCCTTCCAGTTGCAAATAACAAATCTATCTTATATAAATACATGCTGTTTTATCACTTTAAAATGTTTTCTGTTTCTGTGATTCATATAGATATTTAGAATAGTATTTTATTGTCTTTATTTTGGCAGATGAAGAAACTGAGACTCATAAAGATTTAAATAACTTGCCCATGGTTTCACAGCATTTATATAATAAAGAGTAAAACTCAAATTTCCTAGCTCCTAATCCAAGGCTTTCCCCTACCTTATATTTTTTTCTACTACAACCCCACTCTATTTCCCACCACTAACTTCTCCTAAACAAAGATGTTGTTTCTAATATTTTTCTTTCTCAGTAAAGAACTTCTAGTACAGTTACTTAAATGAATAGTGCAGAAGTAGTGGACTGTGGGTTATGTTTAAAGAAACTGAGGTGGCTCAAAAACAAAAGAAAACACTGACATTTGCTAGGAAGAAATGAAACTATTAGGTCATAAGTTCCCCTTTTCTGTTTTAATCACATAAGACTAGCCATCACAAGATACTGGTACCAAAAAAGCAGAACCAAAATTCCTGCTGTGAATTTATAAAGACTAACTATGTATAATAAATATTGATTAAATAAATTGAACCATAATTTCTATGGATTTGACATTAAAATCCTATATAATATAAGCCTAATATGCTAAGTGTCCACCATTTGTTCGACCATTCAACCAGTATGATGTGCACTGACCACCAGGGGACAGATGCGCCAATCAATAGGTTAGCTTGCTGCTGGGATCTGGCCTATCGGTACTGGGCAAGAGGGGCTGGACATGCCCTGGAGCCCTCCCTCCCACAGTCCCTCCCTGGCCTCTGCTCTCTTGCAATCCAGGACCCCTTGGGGGATGTTGAAGAGCCAGTTTTGGCTCATTCCGGCAGGCCAGGCTGAGGGACCCCACCAGTGCACAGATCCATGCACCAGCCTCTAGTGTATGTATATATATCTTTAATTCCAAGATGTCGTTAAGGAATGCCAACTTGTTTATGATTTTGTTTGTTCCTATTAAAGCCACAGTTCAGCTTTTTATGCCTTTGTTATCTTAATCTGCACATTAATGTGTTAATTCTATATTATACTTTAACTTTTTTAATATGTAAAAAGTTGAAAGGACACGAAATTTTTAAAGAATGCTCTTTATTTAATAATAAATGCTATCTATGTCTCATTTTATTATTTTGATTTAAGAGGCCAGCTAGTCAATGTTGTAATTGAAAATAATAGAGAAAACATTTTTTGTTGTTGTTGTAAGAAATAAATAATGCTTTTTTTTAGTTCTCTCTGCCAATTCCTAATGTCATCATGAGGAAAGAAACTGAATTTTCAAGGAAGATTTTTGGAAACGTTGTTTTGGAAGTATTTGAACCTTATCATTTTCAATTTGACATAAATTTACCTCATTCTCTCTGCTTTATCTTTTCACTGCCCATCAACTTACAATTCTTGGTTCATAGTACTCATTACACCTCATACCATTTTAAAAGAGAATAAAGAATACATCCACATCTTATCATTCTAAATTATCATACTGAAAATGATTTTTAAATTATATTTTAAAATCTTTTTGCTGCATAAAATATGCTTTAGTAGTAACCACTTGCAATTCTTTGCAGTAATACAATAAATGCAATTTCCTAAGCCCTAATCCTTGTTTGTTTTGATCTTTCAGGGTCTTCTTTTTACTGTACAGTGTTATTTTTAAAATAACACCTTCTATGTAACATGTACCCTCAACTGCCTTAGAGTTGCAGTTACAATTAAAGGCAGAGAGAAAGGGTCACAGGCAAGAAAGAAAAGGTATGTGTGTAGAGGAGGCTTATTGGTAGGTAGTCAATACAGAGTCATTAAAGGTTTGTTTAGGCTTCAAAAAATATCAAGTAATTCGGAAAAGGGGGAAAAAAGGCGGTTACAAATGGCGCCAATTTTCCCAGCACAAGGAATACTGTTGGTGACTGGATTTAGCAGCTAAGAATATGGTTTTGTAGTGTCTGTCATTACTGCCTTTTTTCTCATTGCCTTCCCTTCCTCTGAAGAGAGCTCTACCTTTCAGTGTAATTACTATGACCTACCTATAAGTACACCCAGGAATCTGGGCCCCCTTACAACATGCAGTAATTACTAAGTCCCCTTTTAGCTATCTGAGCAAGGTTTTTTAAAATAAACTTTTTGTCTTATTAATTGCATGCTCTGACCTTATTCCATAATCAAAATTGAAAAGTAATTTTCTAACCTTCTTATTTTTTTCCTACAGGGATATTAAAGCAGGAAATATTCTTCTAACAGAGCCAGGTCAGGTGAAACTAGCTGATTTTGGATCTGCTTCAATGGCTTCTCCTGCCAACTCCTTTGTGGGCACACCTTACTGGTATGTAGAATTAGAGAACATGACATAGTTTTAAAAATATGCATCCACGAACAAGGTTTTGCTTTGCTATTTTGACAGTGTCTCACCATGTCTCTTAAAATGAGATTTTATGACAGAAGGATAGAAAACTCATTAGCAAAAAAAAACACTCTGACTTAGTATAAAATTTCTGGTGACTTTAAATTGTTCAAATAAGGTTGATGTCGCTGTGTGTAAACTGAGCAGGATTATCAACACACTGTCCAAGCTCAGGTTTTAGATTTCATTTAAAGTTTCTTTTCAACTTTTCTCTTGAGGCAGAGTCTCTAGGCAAGGAGGGTAGCTTCTTTAACCTCCTCTAGCCAGTGAGCATAAATACTGCCTTTCAGTGAAAGAAATCCAGGTTCTTCTGTTTGCTGAATTCTCTGATACTTTACCTAGCTTATCATTCTGACTTAGTTTTATCCCATTCTATTCAAGATTCCTTTCCTTCCTTTCATAGATGCATTGGAATTTTATTGTACCTTAGAGAATGACTTATATCCCTGGAAAATTGCTTACCTACCAAAATAATTAGCTATTTGAAATTTTTTTCAACATCATCGAATAGCATTTGCTAAGCAACTACTTACATACACTATTAAAGAACAAAGCATATTAAACTGATATAACCCCTGTCCTCCTAATTAAAGTCTATTATGGACAAAGTAACATTCATAGCAGTTTGTTAGGTTGGTTGGTTTTAAGTTACAATATCTTTGGAAGATTTTTCATGTTGCTTAAAGTAATTTATTTGTTTAAGTGTTTCATACATATTAATCCTTTATTAATCTCTGAGGTAGCTATTAGAATTCTCTCCATTTTACAGATGAAGAAACTAATATACAGAAAGGTTAAGTAAACTTACTGAAAATCAAACTTGAAGGAAATAGTGGAACCAGAGTTTATTGAAAATAATGTATTATTTCATGTAAATTACTAAGTATATTATTTACATTTTGAATAGTGTTTTTTTCCAAATGATTTGTGTGAGGAAGTAATATCTTTATGAGATAAAGTTTTAGAACACCCTCAAAACAGTTTTTTTATTGAATCACTTCATTAGGTAAATTTAGTTTTTAATTTACAACATTATTTTTGGCAGGATGGCTCCAGAGGTGATCTTGGCTATGGACGAAGGACAGTATGATGGCAAAGTTGACATTTGGTCACTTGGGATCACCTGTATTGAATTGGGTAAGTAAAGACTTGCTTTCATTGTATTTTTTGAGACTCACTCCTTATTATGATAATTCATTCATCCAGCCATTGTTTAATGTGTTACTAGTATATGTGTGTCAGGCAGTGTGAATTCATTATATTTTCCCCCATGTTCTTGTATAACATCAGAAGATTGCTTTCTCTCTGGTACATTTTCAAGTTATTAATTTAAGTAAAACTTTGAGCAGATATGGCAGTGACCAATGTGGGAATCATGATAAGTATTACTATTTGATAAATAGCCATTCTCCATACTATAAATGGTAATATATGTCTTTTCTTCATGTAATATTTGTTATTCAATATACATTCCAACTTATTTAAGGGACATTTGTGAAAGTAAAAGTAGGCTTACCAAAAATCTGACTCTAAAAACTATATTTTACCCAACCCATAAAGAGAGCAACCCCTAGAGAAAACTTCATTTTAGAAGATACTGCCAGCTTTTTTTAAAAAAAAAAATATTTTTATTGATTTCAGAGAGGAAGGGAGAAGGAGAGAAACATCAATAATGAGAGAGAATCATTGATCTGCTCCTTCCTGCATGCCCCCCACTGAGGATTGAGCCCGCAATTTGGGCATGTGCCCTTGACCAGAATCAAACCCGGGACCCTTCAATCCGCAGGTCAACGCTCTATCCACTGAGTCAAACCAGCTAGGGAAATAACTGCCAACTTTAAAGTTGTTCCTCAAATAGTTATAGTTATCTAAAATTAATTAAAATACCAAGTAATCTCTTGTAAGCTTTAAATTTTAATATATCTTAAAGTTACATTTATTCAGTTGTATACCGGTAAATTTAACCAGTGACTCTTGGAGGGTGAGGGAATATGAAAAGCTCTAATTTGTAGCATTTGCCAGTTTTCATGGTGTAAATATTCCCACTATAGCCAATTTCAAGTTACCAGTTGATTCACTAAATGTGGAGTTGGGGGAAGGTATGCACAGTTGACCTTCCAAAGCCAGTGTGAGTTGGCTCCAGCACAACACTGCCTTTATCTAGATATTTGTATACATTTTATTTTATTTTTTTAACTACTAGCCCGGTGCATGAAATTCATGCACATTGAAAGGGAATTAATTAGAGGAATGTAATTTGGACTCACTATCTAATATTAATAGTATGTGAGCATGAGGCAGTCACGTTTCTGAAATTCAATGACATGAATTTTAGCTATTACTTTGCCAAATAAATGGAATTTACAGATATCATTTAAAAGAGCATTCAGCTTAATATTAAAAACTCTGGCTACCAAGTCAGGTCTGTTTTCAACTTTTTGCCAGCGTTGTAAATTGCTTGCAATATCTGCCCATTTGGGGTTGCATGTCATGGTTATGAATAAATTGGGCTTGCCATACTTCGTTACAATTGCCACAGCATCCTGATATCGCTGCTGCATATTTCTGGGACTACCCTCAGAAGGTGATGGAAGTATTATCATTTTACCAATCGGCACATTGTCATTTTCAGATCTAGATTTGAGATAATCCATCAAACCACTATTTTTTTTAAAATATATTTTATTGATTTTTTACAGAGAGGAAGGGAGAGAGATAGAGAGTTAGAAACATCGATGAGAGAGTAACATCGATCAGCTGCCTCCTGCACACCTCCTACTGGGGATGTGCCCGCAACCAAGGTTCATGCCCTTGACCAGAATCGAACTTGAGACCTTTCAGTCTGCAGGCCGACGCTCTATCCACTGAGCTAAACCAGTTAGGGCAAACCACTATATTTTTCGACTCTCAACTTAGATTGGTTTGCTTTGATGAAATTTATCCGATTGGCCTCCATTTTTTAATATGAATCCACAATAAACTGTTGAGTTAATTTTCCTGCATTTAAAATAGGATTAAACATGTCCTGCACAGAGAGATGAAATCCATAAATACTGCATTTGTGTGACTCGTGTCCTTACATTTTGTCTAGTATTATTGTTGATTACACTGTTGTCTGTGAGTCTTAATGCAATATCTGTTCCCCAGCCTTTTTCACCATGTGGAAAAAGAATAGGATATGTCATTGCATCTAATGTAGGAAAGAGGATATTGATTTGTTTCATTTTAGTGGCATTTGGATTATTGGGATCTGGTTTACAATGAATGAGCAAGTCCCTTTCAAAAGGAGGTTCTCCATCTTTGTTTCTGAATATGACAGCAACCTCGGTTACACGGGGAGAATTATATCTACCCGGATCGCTGTTACGATTGTATTAAATCACCATTGTTACTTCTGTAGAAGCAATACCTTTTGCTGCTGCTTCAGATTGGGCTTCCTTTTCTACCTCATGTAGCATCTTGTACGATTTTGTTAATTCATTTTTTTCATGCATGAGGTTGTTGATGTTGATCATGAGTATTTCTGAGCAGCCCTGGTTTTCTGGTGTTGCTAATCTTTTACTTGTAGCTTTGGCTGTATCCTAAATATAGAGTTGAGCAAACTTCGGAGAAACACCATCCGAAGGATGTAAAGTTCCAGTACAGTGATAAACTTGTCCGTGTACTCTAAAACAGTAGGCCCATATCCTGACGGCCATGCAATATTTGCACCCATGGAAGCAAAAGCAAAAGAACTATTTATAGAATGAATATTTTCCATGAAATTTTTACTGTCAGAATCTTCGTTTGTCATTAATCTTTTTAAATATGCCAATTAATCTGGAAAATGTATATCATTTGGACAGACTTTCCCTTTGCTACAACATCGAGTAAATTTCCCATCGGATGGTTTTTCATCAGAGAAATTTAGTGATATGCAAAATTCACATCAAACAGTCATTCCACCACAACTGTGTCCGAGAATTGCATCCTCATGTACTCCATTTTCGCTGAGAAGGCAGTTCCTACCAGTATTGGTAGTACTTGTTGATGGCTGTCCTCTAGACATATTCTGTCGTCACCACCGCCTTCTTTCAACTTCAAAGGCATGTTGGTCTTTAGGCATTTTCTGTCAATAATGCCGGTGTTTTTCGGCATCAGAGCGACGTTTTTCAGGTAGCTGGTGCTTAGATACATCCTGTCGCAGGCGCCACCTTCTTTCAAGATCAGATGCGTGCTGCTCTGCAGACACTTTCTGTTGATAACGCCAACATCTTTGGGCTGCAGAGCTACGTTGTATCAACAGTTGTTCTTTAGACATAGTCCCACCTCTCTACTGTCACGGTCTGAGTTGCAGGTGAATGAGAGTCCTGGCTGTCAGGCCGCTGAGAGCTGTCTGACCAAAGGCTGATTCTGGCTGATTCTGTGGGGGTTGGACTTCCTCCTCCCTGCTGTCAGTTTCCACAGCTGTGATGAGGAAGCTGGGGTGACAGAGGGAGCCGCGCCCTCCAAGCTGCCCTCTCTCTCACTCTGCTCTATGTGCAGCGGTCTCCTGCTCTACCAAGTCTTCCAAACCTCCCGCTCCTCTCCCCCTCTGCTTTCCACTGGCAAGGTCCTGGGAGCCCGCAGGCGTGGCTAGGTGCGGGCGGCCTCGTCTCCCAGACTGGCGAAGGTCCTGGGAGCCCACGAGCATGGCTACGGCCTCGCCTCCTGAGGCAGCAAAGGTCCCGGGAGCCCACGGGTGTGGCTTGGCACGGCAGGCCTCGCCTCCTGGGCCGGCAATGGTCCCTGGAACCGGCGGCCTCAGCCCCTGTCACCTCCTGGGGCTCTTGACACCTGTGTATGCAAATTAACCACCATCTTTGTCAGGTTAATTTGCATAGTCACTCTAATTGGCTGGTGGGTGTGGCTTGTGGGCGTGGTTTGAGTGTAGCGGAGGGGTGGTTAATTTGCATGCTTCTCTTTTATTATATAGGATACTTTTTTTATTTCAGAGAGGAAGGGAGAGGGAGAGATAGAAACATCAATGATGAGAGAGAATCATTGATCGGCTGCCTCTTGCATGCCCCCTTCTGGGGATCGAGCCCACAACCCAGGCATGTGCCCTTGACTGGAATCAAACCCAGGACCCTTCAGTCTGTAGGCCAATACTCTATCCTGGTATCCAAATTGATCCTGTAAGAATTTTAGAGATCCAGTTTATTCTCAGGCTAAGGTTTTGTCTTTCCTTACAATGTTTCTTCTCCCTATAAAGATAGTTTGGTATACTTTGTATTGCATTTCCAATTGCTTCATTGACTCCTTCCAACAACAACAACAACAAAAAATATGGTAAATATATACAATTTTTCTTCTTCTTTTTTTTTTACATTAAAGATATGTTAATGAAAAACAAAACAATTCAAGGAGGAAAGTTAGAATATTTACTTACTTTTTCACTAAGTAACATTAGCATGATTTATAAATCAAAAAATATAAAAAGACATGCAGTAAAAGAACTTTCCCCTGGTACTATCAGCCCAATTCTATCCCACCTCTGCCAACACATATAGGGAACCACTGTTATTAATTTCTTGTATATCCTCCTCAACTTCCTTTATGAGTATACAAACAAGTTTGAATGTACACTTATAATATTCCTTTTCGCACCCAAGTTAACATAAAAAGTGATTCTGTACTTTGATTTTTTACTTCGCAATTTCTTAGAGATCTGTTTCATATTAGTAACTTAGACATCTTTTTCATTTTTTAATGGCATAATGTTATTCCTTTATATCAGTGATTTTCAACCAGTGTGCCACAAGAATTTTTAAAATGTGCAACACCAGTCAGGACCACTGACCTCTTTTCTCTTAGATTGTCAAATAAGAAAATGATAACAGCCAACACAGCAATAGCCATCTGGTGTGAATGAATCAAAATATACTTTATTTTTAGATCTGCAAAAAATATTTTTGTGTGTGCCACTGAATTTTAATACTTAGTTTGTGTGTGCCATGAGATTAAAATATTTTAAAATTGCTGCTTTATATGTATATACTATAATTTATTTAACTGATTGTCTATTAATGGATATGGAGGTGGTAGTTTTCTTTTTAGGTTGTAATATTGTATTATTCTTCCCTTCACTGCAAAAGAAATTCCTCCAATTTATTCAG